TATGCTTTTGAAAGCCTCTTTAGACTTCTAAAAACTTCTATAGAAATTACCATAGACTTGTGTAACCTTCATTATAGTATAAATAGGAGTCTTTGGAACCACTTTTGCTATTAATTTCATTCTTTGTCTTTAATCTTGACATATTTCTTTGTTAGATTCTTATATCTTTGACAATTCCTTGAACAACTATGAAATCTATTTCTCACTCTCTCTAAGACAAAATCACCTTTGTTCTTCTTCATTTTTAAAAATCTTATAGCCAAATTACTTTTGAACTTCATTGCAATAAAGCTACTATCTCTAAGCTAGTAAAAAAGATCACTTGTAATAGGGACAAGCTTAAATTAGGCAAATCAAAGAAGCTCACTATAATAAATGAAAGAGAAATCATTTACCAAATCAATACTTGAAAGGTTGCAAATATTATTGAGGTTGCTAAAAACCTTAATAATATTATTAATAATCATATATTGATCTATATCATTTAAAATATTTTTAAGAAATAAAACATGAAAGCCGTGGTGAAGAAAAAAATCTACTATTATCTACCTCCCATTGAAAATAATTCTTGGATTTTGCTTTGAAGTACAACGAATGGACTTTGGATGATTGGAAAAAGATTATTTGGTCATATGAGACAAAAATCAACAAATTTGAGTCAAATGGTAGAAAGTGGATGTGAAAACAAAAAGATTATTCCTTGCTTGACAAGGAGATCAAAAAAACAATTAAATCTTGGGATAGAAATATAATGGTATAGGATTGTATGGAATAAAATATAATTGAGATAATGGCAGAGGTTGAGGGTAGGATGAATGCCAAGAAATTTGTAGAAATTCTTAAAAAAAATCTACTCCCTAGCATTGAAGAGTTTGGCATTTTTGAAGATGATGTAATTTTTCACCAAAATAACGACTCCGAGCATAACTCAAAACTAACATAGAAGTGATTTGATCATCATGGGATTAAAATAATCGATTGATTTGCTCAGTTTCTTGATCTTAATTCCATTGAACAACTTTGGAAGCACCTCAAACACGAGCTCAATACTTTGAAGATAAAATCAAAGAGAGTTTGAGAATTATGGAAAATAATAGATGTGGTGTCAAGGTAGAGAGACTTTGCTTCAAAAAAGCATTAGGCTTCTAGCTGCCACTAATACTCAAACAAGTCTAAGATATAAAAAATACTAAGTTGATATATATATAATATTTTTTTTTTTTGGGCAATTACATCAATATACAAGCCCAAGTGCCAAGAAAACACCCAAATGTATGATAAAGTATCTTAAAACCTTATATATCCTTATGAAAAATGTTTCTCAAACTTCAACAATTCATATTTCACGATTAGACTGTCCAAACAATCCTAAATTTTACATGAAGTACTGATATACTTTCAAAAACTACCACAAAAAAATTCAACTACAAATTCATTATGCATCTTGAGATATCATCAAAATCCTAATAGTAGCTTTAAATCCTAGCTTACATACACCTGCATGCTAATTTCTTTATATCTCACAATATAAGTACTCAAATACCATAAAACTTTGATCTATAGTTTTTTTAACTTAATAGCTCATACTTATGGAAATTTTGAATAAAAAATTCGTCTAAAAACTCAAGATATGTCTCCAACTATTACTATCAACAAAATTATATCCAAAACCTTGAACTTGCTGATCCTAGCTTCCAAAGCTCGAATGACTTCGAAAGAGAAATCCTAATCCCTAATAAGGCCTCGCACAACCTCTTTGAAGCCCATTAGGCATGGCCTTCGACCAATAGGAATGAAGATCTCCATTTCTTACCTTCATCCAACCATGCCTTGCTTTCATCCCTCCCAATAAGCCTCCTAATAGTTAGGCTTTCATCTTTAGACTCCAATCTTCCCTTAAGTTTTATACTAAATATCTAAATCCTACATAATATAAACACTATAATCAAAATAGATAAATCTTCAAATAAATTTTCCTATATCAATTTTCTTTAAATTTATTTATTAACCACTCTAATCTATATCAAGACTTACAAACATATCATATGTTTTAATTAAATTTTACATACTATAAGCAATTACAATACAACAGCAGAATAGAATAATATTGAAGCAATTTTGTGCCAAAAGTTAATAGAAAGTATGTCTAGGATGTTGGAAGCAATTATCAATGTCAAAAGAGGTCCTACAAAGTATTCATATATAATTGAATACCAATTTCAAAAAAATATTTCAATATTATTTCAAATTCGATTGGTCATAGCTCCACAATTATCTAATGGATTTTTTTCAACTTAAATTCATTTAGTAGCTATAAAAGGGTACTTTATTTTCTATTTAAACCAAGTATTATTATTTATTATAATTCATTTGTAATACAACATTCTTTCCATAATATGTCAACATTAAAATAATTTTTTGAATTATATATATATATTGAATCAACTTGGACTTTTACTAAAAAAATCCACTCCTACAATAACCATCATTACAATTATCTACACTGCTTTTATTCTTAGCTCTTATTTCCTTTGTTCTACAATCATCCACACTCTACTTATTCCCGACCTTTCTTCTTTTTCTTCTTAGCTCTCATTTTGACCTCTTCATTTTCAACCCCTGCTATGTCTGTTCTCAACTTCCATTCTAATATACCCTCCTTCCATGATCTTAATTTTCATCTAAACCTCTTTCATTCTCAACCTCTACTCCTAGTTTTATTACTAGCTCTCATCTCAATTACTTTCTTTATCTGATAACTTATGTTTTGACTTATAATTGTCTTTTAATTCTATAAGCTATATAGTTGATATTTAATCATAATTTCTACTTAATAATTTTTTTATTAATAGAACATCAAATGTAAGATCTATCTAGTTGCTCCAATCATAATTATATATGCAATACAATTGTTGTTAAAGTCAAGAGGGTTTCATTTTTATTTTTAAAGAATCTAATATATTGCATTGCAAAAATGTGATGAACTGAAACAAACTGAATGATTACATAATATACAATTATAAGATATGTGGTATAATTCTTTAGAATAAGATCATAAATTCAACTAGACAAGATAAGTATCTATCCATCAATCTCCATTCATAAGTCAAAGCCAAATAGGAACAAAAGATTATAATACTTATCCCCTATATTTATGGATAGCTAATCTATCCTTTGAAACCATGTCTGTGAGATCTTTCTTATAAAATTATAAGTACCAAAGGGTTAATATAGAATACTAAGGTCTGCCTCTGTTCTAAGAAACCATGCTACAACAAGGGCATTTATATGAGGCAAGTATGTCTCAATTACAAAAGGCCTTCTAGAGATAATCACTACAATGCATCTTATGTAGTAATAGGTATTCTTAATGAAGTGAATGCCCATAAGAGGTATAATAAGATTGGTATTATTTCTATAGATTTTGATATATAGAGATCTTCTAAACACAACAATAGTGCAATCAAAGTCTTTGTCCTTAGTAAGACACTTCTTAGCCCCCTCTAAATACACTACTTTGATGGTAGAGGAGACAACCTATTAAATTCCTTATAGGACTGTTGTGCTAAATGTTATTTCTCAAAAACCTTCTTGCGAATGAATCATGGATGAATCATGATTTCTATTAGCATTTTTTAAACATAAATTAGATCAATTGAAGTATTTAGCTAGAATTTGTCAAATTGAATGATTTGAATTGCAGATGATCAAATTTATTTTCAAAATTTGTTAATAATCAATATCAAAGTTTTTTTGTATTATTATTTAAAAAGAATCTTATTTTAAGGACAATGGAGAAAGTATAATAAATGCTATGTATTAATTTTTTTTATTCTATGAGTTTGATAATTTATCAAATTAAACGAGCCATGTCTTGACGAGGCTTGAATCGTATTTCATTGATCACTAAAAGTTTTAAGAGCTTAGGTTCATTTATGATATTTTTACTATAGAAGTTATTTGATGCAACATGTTCATACTAATAGAATGTTGACAACTCTTAGATGAATCACAAAGTCTTAATTTGCAAGGTTGTATGTGATTCTTGTATAAGTTTAGTTTTTTCTTAGATTTGTGATATCTAATCTATAGTATATTTATGACTTTCTTTTGGTTAAATTGACTTTAAAATATCTTCTTATAGAGTATTAATTTCAAAGCTCTTTGCATTTAAGAATAGAGTTTGTTGCACATATTTTATATAAGTTTTATATAAGCAAATATTAAAGCAACTCAAAATTTTACTAAAGTGATTCACTCCTATAATAACCATCATTACAATCATCCACACTCTTCTTGTTCCTAGCCCCTGTTCCCTTTGTTCTCAACTCTTATTCCAACTCCCTTCATTTTTAATCTCCATCTTGGTACACCTTCTCTCTTTTCACCCCCCGTTCGTAATTTTCATCGTAGCCTTCTCAATTTTTAGCGTCCACTCCTAGCTTTGTTACTCAATCTCATAACCATATCTATTATATAAAATAACTTGGATATAAGATAAAAGGACAAAAATGCAATTTGATTTGCTATTGAGAGGTAACTTTGAGAACTTGGGGATGCAAAATGGTTGGGGTTGTTGGAGTTATTAGGATTTTGAGAATTACTTCTTTGCCAACCCCTCCACTTTGTCCCGGCACCCTTGAGAAATCAGGACTTGAAGTTTTTGATTATTTAGAGTGGGACGGGAGTGGACACAAGGTTGTAGTTTGTGCACTTGTTCTGATGGACGATGAAGTTTAAAAATTTAGTGCATGGTTTGGCAGGGTTTTTGGTTGGGGGTGCCAAAACCAGTAATGGGCGGAGGTAACTAGTGCTGCAGTGATGTCACTCGATGACTGACGTGGGTTTTGCAATGCATCACCCGTGAAGAAGAAGACGATATGCAGTTTCACATTGGACGGCACGTCAGTAGCTGCATTGAGATCTGCTGTGGCACAAGCTTACTGGTTTGAGTTTTTCATGGGTAAGTTGTAAAGTCCAGAATGTGTGGGATGCAGATGCTTGGATATAATGTGAAGGTGTTAATGAAGTGACTAGCAGTTGTGTTTTTGTGAGCCTAGTGTAGAGCATGAAGTAGCCCTTGGAATGTGCATGGAGGGAGGGACAGAGCTCGGTATGAATTAGTTGATTGCGAAGAGGAATGCTAAGTTGCTAGGCGAATGTTGAGGTGAATACGATGTTGCAATGACAGTGATAGAATGGTCTCTGACAGTGGAATGTGTGTTTGTTTTGTGTTGTGGGTGGGTTTTGCAGACGAGCTTCCACTTTGGGGTGCGTGATGGCCGATCCTTCAGGCACAGGTGGTTGTGGTTTGGTGGTTGATAGTGCCTGGCAGGGTATGTGAATGTCGGTATCATATGGGACACAGCAAGAGAGCGAGAACGGACGCACGCAGCGGGGTTCCGCACAACACCACCAACCAGCAGCCTTGGTAGCAGCGATGGAGGGCACCGATTGCGCGAGCGCGGTTGTTAAGGCATCATTTCGAAGGAATTGCAAGGCCATCGCCGAAAAAACTGCAATCCGGCAACGGAACCCAACAAAAAAAGCCCACCGCTTTTTTTCGTTGGTCACCCAGTTCATAGCAGTAGCTCAGTGCCGCTGAGGTTGTATGTGTGAGAGAGAGAGAGCGTGCGGCCTTGCGAAAGGGAAGGGAGAGGGAGGGGCTCTCAATTGATTTGGGTTCTTTATTGCCACCTTACTTGCTCACCAACCTGCTCTCCTACATACCAGGTTCGTTGACACAGTCCCTGCCACAATTGCCATCGCCATTGTGTACTGTGCTGTGAATTGATGGGAGCTGAGCTGATGGGGGCTTTCGCAATCCTCCCCGCTGCAGGATCTTCACCAGTAGGGGAGGATCACTTTTCTGGCTATGCGAGCTTGAGTTTGTAGCTTGATTTTTTGTGGGGAGAGCGGGAGGAGTCCTGGGTATCATATAGTACACGATCTACACATATATGTTCGTATTGATTAAGTATAACAACGACCAGGGGTGTTTGGTTATGAAGGTTGTTGAGTGGTTGGTGAGTGGTTGCGCGGGGGTGAAAATGACAGGTGGCGTGCGATGGAGTGGGCGGGGGCAGATCATTCAAGTGGATCTGACCCAAGACAGTGAGTGCGGTGTATGTGTTGCAGTATGTAGTATGTGTTCAACCGGTCTTGATTAGAAAATGCTTTGATCAACATAAGAATGGAGTACGTTCGTGTCTAACAACAGCTTCATTCCAAGACAGGTGGGCCGAAGTGGGAAGTTGGGGTAATGGAACGGGTGGCGAGTCAAAAGAAGTTTTTTTTTCGTCGGATGAGTTTGAAGCTCACAGCAAGGTGGACCCACCTATCGGCACTTGCCATCGACGATGTGAACCCGACGCTGCTGAAACGATCAGGAACTGAGACGAAATTACATTGCATTGATTGCTTCAACATTTCCACAAGCGGATCATAAGCTTTTCGCAGTGCTAGCTTCACTGAGTCATCCACGCGCCACTAACATCGCACTCACTGCCTCTAGCAGCAGGAAGCGGTCACATGTCTCACACTTAGAAGGAAGTAACAAACAGGGACACTGTTTAATCTTGATATATATAAATATATATATATATATATATATATATATATGATCAGATGGCAACCTACATGGACCACGTTGCTAAGAGTACAAGCGTTAGAGTACCGTTTTCCTGAGTTAACAGTTTTCATGATTTCTTCATTGGTCCGCGCATGATCAACTTCATCTGTAGTTTCCATGGAGCCTCCCATGACGGAACGAAATGCATGATTAAACCAGTTTTTAAGAAATTGACGGCGTTTGAATGAAGGAGCTTTGATATTCCTCATGAACATTTTTTTGGTTTACAAACGTCTTTTGTCAGAGAGCTCACCAAAAAAGTTTCAAAACTTGCAGGTTTTTCATGTCCTTCACAGTGCCTGCTTGATAGAGCGAGTGGCTTTCTGCAAAGCAAAAACTTGGAATGCGTCTTTGACCATGAGTCGCAAGCTGAAGCGTCAAAAAACTGTGCATTAGAATGTTCAGTGTCCCACATATGGCGTTGATGGTGGACAAGATTGGTGCAGAACCGAGATCGAGTTTACATCTGCGACAAGCATCTTTGTCCTGAATGTCAATGTACAAGTGTAAAATTGGAAGGTCTACGCCTTGAACATCCATGCTTTCGATTAAATTATGCAAGACGATTGTGGCTTTGCTATCGTTTCTTGCAGCTGGAATTTGTGAAACCCGTGCTATTGTTCTGTAAACCACTCTAGCTAATGCGATTTTTGTGTGTGTTTCTTCTGATCAGGTTTACAAATGGGTCATGGGTCATGGAACTCATAGAGAGTAGAAAATCTTATATGGAAGAGTAAGGGAATCCATTGGAACTACTGTTAGTGAAACAAGACAAGTCTAAATCTCAGGTCTTTTATCTTTGTATTTACTGAACTTCTCTATTTACCTCTCATTCTATCTCTCTATCGCACACTCACACTGAAGTAAACGAAGTTTCGTGTACATGGATATGCTTTTGGAGGCACCCATATTCATCAATAGATCCTCATGTTCTAGGACTGATGTTTTCAAATTTAGCAATCATTTGTAGAATTTGAAGAGGGCGGAGGAGGAGTGGTGGAGTATTTCAGCTTAGTGCGCAAATTGAAGGTCTGAAGGTTTAATATCGTCGCCAAACATGAACTTCAGCTGCTCAACTAGGCTTTCGCAAGGTCCAAGCTCAGATCTATTAGTATATTTGTTCAAGGTGTTGGAATTCCATTTTATACTTCACAATTTGATCAAGTAAAGATCATGTGTAATGTGACCTATATTTTCTCTTTGTTTAATTGAAGGTTTGGTCTATTTTTTTTATGCACTACACATGCTTGAGAATTATGCTATCAACCTCCTGCAGAAACGCAACATCTTCCTTATAGTGTGTGGAAGTGTTCCTTTTTCAATGTAATTGGCAAACATGATTCATATTTATTATATATTTACATTCCACTAGTGTGTGGAAGTGTTCCATTTTTATACATAAATACATATATATATATATATATATATACTTTTTTTTCTTGGTCAATATTTCTTTAAGAGTGGAAAATCTTTAACTAAGCAATCACTAATTAAAATTTTACAACTTTCTCGTGGCCAATGGTATGGGTTTCCACTTGTGTATATATATAACCCAAACCCAAATGAAACCTCACCGTCGACTCCACGTTCCCACGTTCCCACGTTCCCACTCACCCAAAGCACGTGGCAAAAACGATGCATCAGGACAGTGGAGCAAACAAGTCTCGATGAATATTGTCGCCGTTCACACGGCAAAACATCCAGGTCCCGAACGAAGACTAATAACGAAGTAAGGATGTGGAAGAGGACCTGGATGAGCTGCGTTCGACGACGCCGCAGCAACAGCAGCAGCAGCCGAACACGAAGGAAAGCTTGGCTTCTTCTGGTTTCCTGCATCATCTGCGTCTCCCATCGATCGATTCTTGCGGGAATTTGCGACGATTCCACCTGGAGCAACAACCCACCGAGCCTCCACGATGAACCCTGCGATTTTTCCCCTTCTTTTGGTGCTCGGGGCGGCCATGGTGACTGCGGATTCCGTCGTCGAGGAGCTGGAGAAGCACGGGCTGCCAGTAGGACTCCTCCCGAGCTCCGTGAAGAGCTACTCCATTAGCGAGGACGGTGACTTTTGCGTTGCGCTGCAGAGCTCTTGCTACGCAAAGATTGAGGATCAGGTGTGTGGAATTGCTGTCTGATGCTGTATTGGTGGTGAGAGCGAGAGAGATAGAGAGAGAGAGAGAGAGAGAGAGTAATGGTGACGTTCTTGGTTTCGTTGCGTAGTTTGGGAAGAGTGAGGGGACCTTGTGATGCGATACCGATGAGATCGTTTTGACCAAATGGTTGTAGCGTTGGGATGGATCGTGGCGTTTGATTTATCCGTTTCGTTGTCTTTTTGGGTTCTTCAAGTGTGAGATCTTGGGTGCTCACATTGGCTCATACGAGTGGGTGAGATTGTTTCTCTCCTTTTGTGAAGTTGCTCGATCCCTCTTCAGCTACCGCTGCAGTGAGGATTGCTTTGCGTGGTGATTAATCTTCAGTTCTATGAAGTGTTGTTTTGACAGTGTGCAGAACTTCTCTGTTATTGTTTCTGTTTTTCGCGATTCTTGTTTTGAGGGGATATATCAACGTGCGATCAAGTGTTGGCCACTAGAGACAGCGAGGGATTGAATATGCGTGTATTTGAAATTAGAAATAATTTGGCTTGCGGTAATTTTGACTATACAATTATGTACAGTACTTGAGTTTTGGACCTACTGGTTAAAGTCGTCAGGCATGCAGTGCAGCGTTAAGGGTACGGTTGAGATGGGTGCAACTGTCATCTCGATTAATTTCAGGACTGATCTTTTTGTGTGCTTCTTTAACCTGATTTCAGATTTAGAATTATATTTGAGGGTTGACCTATTTCTTTCGTGCGTGCACTTGGTAATTTCTGTAGTAAACTTTGGTCAGGAAACTGCCGAGTTCTTCAATTGCCGCAATCAAGTGCAGACATGCTATCATTGCACGATGCCGTTGTCTTCGTTTTTACTCCTCTTTCATACACATTTTGGAATATGATTTCAAAAGACGCCTGTTAGGGCTTTTATAACCGACAGGTGCCTGACACTTGATAGATAATGAGTAGATAAATAATTATTATCTCATGGTGTCAAACCTGGGTCAATGATTATTCTTTTTTGAGCCACTGGAAGTAGGGATCCTTATCATTTGCGGTGAATTTTGTCCAAGCGGTCGTCAAAAACTCAAATCTTTCATGGAACTGAAGGTCTGAAGGAAGTCCTGTGATGAATGTGGTTTCGTTATTAAAGTTTGTCATCATGACCGTCGGGTCGTTCTGTGCAGAGTATACGATAAATTGGATGTCTGTGCTTGCATTCTTGAGCGTATGCCAATTGATTATGCACGTATAATCAATACTGACATGGATCTGTTTGATTGGTCTCTTGTGCAATTAAATTTTAGCTGGCATACTACAGCCGTAACATTACGGGACAGCTGAAGTTTGGCACCATCAGTAACTTAAATGGAATCGAGACAAAGCAGCTTTTCGTTTGGTTGCCAGTGACAGGAATATATGTGGATGTTCCAGCTACACCCTACATCTACCTCGAGGTCGGTGTCTTGACAAAGAGACTAGCGCTTGCCGTATTCGAGACACCTCCAAAGTGTTCCTCCCATGACGCTGACACAGGAATTCACATTCCCAACTTGGTAAGTTTCTTCGAAGCTCAATCACTACAATGCACCCCTGATGTAGCTTTGAGATAACTTTTATCTAGTAGTAATTTCCTCGGCTGTATCTGTTCAGGACGTGTGTAAATTTTTCCTGTTTCACAATAGACATATGGACTATCTGAGTTCATAATCTATGGTCGACTTTGGGTGATTTTCAGCAGCCCTTTCAGAATGGATAGCATGAGTCTCCTTCTATGGTATAAAACCACTAGTGGACTATTTTTTCAAGTCTTGAATCTCGTTCTTAAAGATATGACGGCTCAAACTAGGTTTTTACCTAGCTTCTTAAATACAGTCATCATAGGCCAGGCCATATCAAAAAAGTAACAAGAGATAGATCTGTTTTTCCATCTATATCCATGCCTGCTGCTTTTTGCATGTCATCAGCAAAAAGAAAGCTGAAAAGATAGCTCATTATACCAATGTCTCAACGTCGCTTTTTTCAATGTATGGCAGAATGAATTTGCGGGCTTTCGACTAAGGAAGGCGCTGCACTGATATATGTGACGCAAGCGACTGACTTCACGTCTTCATTAAGATCTACGGTAGTTGATAGTTTCACATGTAGCTTGTCAAATGTGAGTGTATCTCTGTTGCTTCTTAAGGAACAGCACCAGATGTAAATTGCAATATAAATAATCGATTCCTGCAGAGGACTGTTGACGCAGTGGACCATTAGCAGTATTCTGGATGCTACATAATCTGGATTCAGTATGTAAACCTTTGTGTACTCGATACATGTGATCAGCTGAGAAATTTAGCCGGAGAATTTGTGCTGCGAAAGGTTTGTCTTTCTTGCAATCCTAAATTTTCTCATTAGCGTAGAAATTATACAACGTGGGTGCATGTCAATTACTTGTGTGAGCCAAAACAGGATGTAACTGAATCACCCATTGGAGCATGCATAGCTGGTGCATTCTCGTCAGCTCGTACTCACACCCATCTTTCTCCAGGATTTGAAGTTCCAACGATATATGTATATACCCTTATACTTAGGAAAACACATCAGCGCGTCACTTTATGACAGTCAAACTAATACTTTCTTTCTTTATTATCTTCTCTCTAAATGTCCAGCAACAAGGATAGAACTGTTAATGTGGAACACCTGAGCAATTAGGTTTCAGTTACAATGAAAAGGAAAGAAGAAAGATATGCTACCTAATTACCAGATAAGTGTGCCATGAAAGTAGTTTGTCCCATGGATCTTCAGTGTTGTGCGTACTTGAGAGCTTCAACCACTTGGAGGTGCAAATGCTGTTCAGCTTTTTTGCATCAGAAAACTATGATGCTTTTCTGTCCTGTTTGCAGGGGGCTTTACATGGTCGTCTGCCAGATTTGATGTGAAAAGTCATGGTCGGTACACAGCTTGACAATTGAACAGCACTGGACAAACATATATGTTTATATATATATATATATATATATATTTGGTACTTTGTGGCAACCAGAACAATTGTTGAGTTAATGCTGCGCTAAACAAGACCTTTTGGATTAAAAAGTTCTGCCAACTGCGTAGGGGGAGGAATGATTTCATGTGTGAAGTTTTGATGCCTTCTTATCATTTACAGAAAATGTTTGGAGTAACGAAGAGAAAGAGAAGTTTGGTAGTCGTATCAAAGAAACAAGGAATGGAGTGCACAAGATTTAGTTTAGAAAAGAGTAGGTTTTAGTATTTTATTTAAATACTTTTTTGAAAATTATTTAGAGAGAATCTTTTTATATATAATACTAAAAAAACTTTGTTACAAAAAGTAAAAATCTACTGTTTTTTAATCATACCTTTTAAACAAAAATTTAATATTAAATATTCAAAAAATTAAAAAAATGCAGAGGTGTCATAGAAACAAGTGAATATAACACTAAGACTTAAGATAAAACATTTAATATAAATAAAATATTATATAGGTTTGTGTGTGTGTGTGTGTATATATATATATATATATATATATGATTGTAAATTATTCTAAAGGCACTTCAATATTTAAGTGTCACAGAGGTCAGTTTATTTGAACTAAATTTACAATAAAATTATTGAGAAATTTTAAAATGAAGTATTTGATAAATAAATTATATTGTTTCTTTAATTTAATATGTCTATAAAAGTATTAATAATTGCATCTTTGGAAAAAAAAAAGGTAAATAAATAATTTTACAACTGTTTTATAAAGATCAAAACATAAATGTATTTGTAACTTTACTTTCTAAAATTTAATAGAAAATAACAAAAATATAATGAATTTAATTAGAAGGTAATCTAAATTTTTAATAAAATATGGAGATTTTTTATACAAGAGTTAAAACCTTACATTCAATAAGAAAACCAAATTCTAATATTCAAAAATATTACAAATTAAAAATATAATATAGAAAACTCCTTTTATATATATATATATATATATAACATAAGATCATTATTTAATCTCTTCTTCATGCAAGAGAGTAATTCATAAAGTATAAGAGCTTCTATATAAATAAAAAAATATATATTACTTAATTAATTCAAGTATTATAAAATATTAAGTTAATTTAAAATGTATTAATTTATCTATGAACAACAAAATTTTAGCGTGTAATAAATGAGAATGATCTTCTGCAAATTCTTCATATAACTTAAATACTAAAATAAGTATTTTTTTATTTGAATTACAAAAATATATAAAAAATTATTCTTATATAACAGAAAAAAAATTGCTTCACTATATAACAATAATATATGTATACTTTAAGAATGTTAAAACTATTATGGTAGGGGGCATTAAAAGAGGAATATGTCTTAGAGAAATTTTTTTAAGAAAAGTCAAGCAGACCAATGATTAAACAATTAATTAAAGAGTTGTTTATAACTTTTAGTGATCATTTTTTTGAAGTCAAGTTAATTTAAATTAATAAGTGTATTAGAGTGTGAGAATAAATCAGTTTTATTTTTAACAAAAAATTGAGAAGCTAATAAGAGAGTGTTGCAAAAACCATTAAAGAATACAATTTATCAAGAGAATAGAGAGAAAGTAGAGCACAATTTTCAGATAATATTAATTTAAGGCATTAAAGATGGGCTTAAAAGTCATGGGCGCTACTTATAACTATCATCCAAAGCTAAATAAAGATAAATAAAAATAACAGTTTCAAATAAAACCCACAATTTTCAAATTAATCCTTGATGCCTTCAATTAATAATTTCTCAAAGTCAAACTCCATCTCCCTTCCATTATGCTAAGAAACCGTACTCTCTAACAACATCTGTCTACTGAATTCTTGTTGACTTCTTTATTTTATGTTAAACTTTTACTCAAATATTAACATATCACAATATCTCTAATCAACTTCAAAATATTAACAAAATAAACAAATAAATTCATCAAACTCAACAAACCAAACAAAACCAGAAGTCCTCAAACCAGGCAATCCCAAACCTTCACCTAATCACCAAAAAGGAGCAAAACAAAACTCATAAATAAACAAACAAAAAAATAAATTTTATTTTAAATTAAAAAAGTGAACGGAAGAATGTACGTGAAAGAAAAAAAGTCGCAAACGGAGAAAATCCTGGTTGTTCAAGGACACTATGAGTTGACGCGAGGCTCGTTACTCACTCATCAGCAGCAGCCGAAGCTTGACCCTCGCCGTGCACTTATTATGCATGGAGCCCATGCATTAGACTCAAGCACACTTCATAATAATAATGCAATCTAACTAAGTAAATAAATAGAACATACACACACACACACACATATATATATATATATATATATATATAGAAATATGCATTCATTCATGTATATATATATTCTTAATCCTCCCTCCCATTCTTCGTCTCTCATCCTCACTCACCTTCTCCCGCTACTGTATACTCAGCACAGACACCCACATTCATTCTACTGATCCATCGTCCACTTCCTGCAAGTCTAGATTGGATTGATTGCGTTTCTGGGGTGTAGATCCACCATGCACAGCGGTGACCGAATGCGATGTCTCACCAGATGCAGTATTTTTAAGGCTGTTGCTGCGATGATGTTGGTGGTGGTGGTGAAGATTTGTGCCGCGGAGCTCGACGTCGCATACTATGACTTTCGGTGTCCCGATGCATTGGCCATCGTGCAAGGCGGCGTCCACGCCGCCATGCAGCGCGACGCCCGGGCTCCTGCGTCACTTCTGCGGCTACACTTTCATGACTGCTTTGTGAATGTGCGTTCGAAAGTTGATGTGGAGTTCGTTGTGGATGGTTTTATCTGAGTGATGTGTGATGTTCCGGTTTGCCGATGGGGGTCGTTAGACCGACGTTGTTCCTAGTGTTGATTTAGTTTGAGCTGTATGGGTTGGCTGTTATATATATATATTAGCTTTCTGGTGGATTAATTGTCGGGAATGGCGGTTGAGGTTGGTTTGTGGCGAGCAGGGATGCGATGGCTCCAACCTGCTGGACGACCGACCAGGATTCGTTGGAGAGAAGACTGCGGCGCCGAACTTGAATTCTGCGCGAGGGTTTGAAATAATTGATGAAATCAAGCAGCAGCTGGAAGATGCCTGCCCTAAGACTGTATCGTGCGCGGACATTGTAGCCGCAGCTGCTCGTGACGCAGTGTTTTTGGTACTTTGTCATGCGTTACGTTCTGAACTGATCGATGTCAAAATTGGATTGAATTCTGTTATATTTCTGCCAGTGTCAAGGTTCGAGGTATGTATGGAAAATCGAATCCCAATTTATTTCTGGGGGGTGCACGGATGACAGAGTGGCGGGCCTTTCTGGGATGTGGAGTTGGGAAGACGAGATGCACTCACAACTAGCTCACAGGCTGCAGTAAATTCCATTCCTAGTCCGAGGTTCAATGTTCCCCAGCTGATCAAGAGCTTCAACGCCGTGGGACTTGATAAGAAGGATGTTGTCGCACTTTCAGGTATTCCACATGGAGGAAATACGCTAAACATGCAGAATTAACTAGAAGTTGATCGAATTCCCTTTCTCTTTTCATCTTTTATTTAATATGCACAATTCTCGACAGTCGGTTATTGAACTGAGAATAGAGCATCATGCTGTTTTCAAATACCTCAGGCTCGCACACGATTGGAATAGCACGATGCGCTAGCTTCCAGGCACGTCTCTACAACCAAGGGAATTCGGGACGACCCGACTCATCCCTGGAGAAGCACTATCTTGCAGAGCTCCAGAACAGGTGCCCTCAAAGCGGCGACGGAAACCAGACTGCATTTCTCGACCCATGCACACCAACAACCTTCGACAACCAATACTACAAGGATTTGCAGGCTGGTCGAGGCCTTCTGTTCTCGGACGAAGTGCTGGAAACCACCAGTGGCACAACCCTCAAGCTTGTTGAGCTTTATGCCACGGACCAGACCGCATTCTTCACCGACTTCGTCTCATCGATGCTCAAGATGGCGTCCATCCACGTGAAAGCTGACAGCGAGGGCGAAATTCGCCGCAACTGCAGGATCCCGAACTCTGTGAATGCTAAGGGTGGAACCTAACCTAGTCCTGTGGATTTCGCAGTCTCGATAGTCTAGACAGGCTTTCAACCTGCTATTTTGTGCATGCAAACTTGTGGGTTCAGTTGCCCATCTGTGGATCCAGACACATCTTAAGATTGTGGACTTCTACGTAATCAACTTTTGTCACCGTGGTGAAGTTCGCGCACTTCATAGTGCCAATATTTATTTGTCAGTTCTTCATCACAACTTTAGGTCGGCAACTTGAAACTGAACAAAGTTGACGTAACAACACTGCATCTTGCACAGGCTGTGCTCATTGTGATTAGATTGTATGCATTAAGACTTGTGATTTGAAGTTGATTTGAACTTATCAAACATTCTCGGAGGATTTAAGTTCATCATTCGGTGTGTTATCACATTAAATTCCCTTATATAAATATCAAATGTGTGTATAAATAGTTTGAAAAACTTAAATTTAATGATTTTATATTGTTTGATGTAAATTTTTAATTTTAATTTTTTTCAGATATTAAATATATAGCTGTATGGATTTTTACATCTTCACAATACTGGATAATTTTAGCTTAAATAAAATTCTATAAAAGACATACTGACTCAAATTTACTAATGAGTATTTATAAGATTTTATACAACAGCTATCATGTTTTAATGATAAAAGACTTGAAATTGTCTTTAAAATAATTATATCTCATTCCAAATATTTATTTTTATCTATTTTTATTAATTCATGTTGTATTTAAATTTTCTAGATATTTATTTTAATGATTATATATATATATATATATATATATATACAGAAGGTGTTGATATTGCCACTGCAACCTATGAAAATTTTAGTCAAAATTTAGTCAAGTTTTTTCTTTTTTACTTTTTTCTTTTGCCACCACAACCATTTCTTCATGGTTTGATTGTGTATTGTAAATACTAACAACGTTTTTGATTGGAATAAAAAAATCAAAGAAATATGTTAAGTGAGTGATAAGTTATTGTAGCATTAGTAAAACCTATGGTCGCATTAGCAAAACATGTAGTAGCATTAGGAAAAATTATTGTGGGATTAGCACTACAATATGTATATATATATATATATATATATATATATAAAAGAAAACTTGATATAAAAAAATCATAAACAAATCATAAAATTAGAACTCATATAAAACTTTCTTATATTTTCTAATATGCCCTTAAGTTCTTTAAATTGTATTAGAAATAGGATTTAAATCAATTTATTTTAAAATTTATATTTTAAATGAACGAAATTAAAATTGATAAATATTTTTAAATTTCTAAAATTACTCTTTCTTTAAAAAAAATATAAAAATTATAAATATATTTAAATAATTTAAAATAAATAAAAACTTCAAATTATTTTTAAGTTAAATTTATTATCATTTAAAATCCTATTTCTATTAGTATGATAAGATAAAATAAAATATATAAAAAATATAGAAATTTAATATGATTATGAATTCTAACTATGTAATTTTTAATTATGATTGTATTTTTATTTTATTTCTTATATTCTTGTATTTTATTTAATGTGTATAGTAATGTTTCTTTAGAAACTAAATAATTTAGTACATGTATCCTCTATAATATAAAACATTTACTAAAGCTACTTATGTAAATAAAAGTGAATAAGTTAAATGAAAAGATATTAAATGAATAATATATTTTTTAAAAAATATAAACAAAGTTTCATAAACTTAGATTGGATCTTTAGATGTTTGTACACTATGGGACAATGAACTTCTCTAAGTAGTTGTTTGCATCTATAATATTGTGATAGAAGCATTGTACAACTTAGAACTCTTGTCTTCTATCTCTTATGGTCTTTAGGAGGCTTTCATATGGCTTTCTAATTAACTAGTATATATATATATATACATATACATATACATAGAGAAAGAGAGAGAGAGAGAGAAAAAGAGAAAGAGGCAAAACTAAAACCACTTTTAGTCTTGTTAGTGCTTTTTTTAAATTTAAGTCTTGATTTAAGACTCCTTAATCTTAGTATTTAGCAATAATCATTTTAGTACATTTCTTTCAAATAAATATATTTCTTCTATGTACTTTCTTTTTTATAAGTTATATATGACTATACTTTCTTTTGACAAGTCTATCTAAAGTCATGACTATACAACAAAAGCATAAATTTTCTCATTTGTTTTTTTTTTTTTTCTTTTGTCATTGTGCTAGTGGTTTAGATAATAATATACAGGGAATTATTAAAATGGCCCATGCATTTACTAAATCAACACATCCATCATCATTAGTTGAGGTTCCAACCATTTTCCATTGGTGCTTGACCAATGGAAATCTAGCAATGAAACATTTTTTGATGATGGTTAGGATGGACAAATCAATTTAGTATATACTTGGATCCATTTAATGATTCTATATATTTATTTATTTATTTATTTTTAAATTTTTAGGCATTATTAAGATCATTTGTAAGTTGTAGGTATATTTGCATAGTCTTTGAAAATAATTCTAAAAAATTTAAAAATTGAAATTAAAAAAAAAAATACTTTACAAAATATTGGAATTTCTTAGAATTAAATATTTAGTTTTACATAAAAGTCAAAAAATCAAATTTAATTAATAAATTTCCTAATATTATATTTTTAAAATTATATCAACTTGTAATTTCTTAAAATACATGTCTATTATTGTTTATCATTCAAAACATAATATTAGTTGACATACTTATTAAAGATACTCATATCATTATTACATTTGATAAGAAGATGCATGTAGGTTGTTGATTATAACATAAATCCAATATTTTCATTATATAGTCCAATTTGCTTATTTTTTCTTTAATCTTTATTCCAACATTTTTTTTTTTTTTTTTTTTTTTATTGCAATTTTACTGAAGTTGCAACAAGATCAATACTCATAGCTCAATAAAAAGAGATAATGAGATTAAAGAGGACTTAATCTTGTTTATATCGGCACTAATTGCAAGAGTAGAAGCTTGTTAGTTAAATTATAAGTAATTTATTGCTCAAGAAAATTCCTGGAAGAAAAAAGAAAAAAAAAAAAAAAAAAAAAAAAATCTCACGAGATTTGCTAACCAAACTACAGAGTTTCTAAGAAGCAAAACATAGTCCAAGTATCCCTCACCAAAAAAAAAATCAATCTTTTTGCAAAGCCTAAAAAGCAATGTCCATATGGCATCCATGAGTATGTGTATTTGTATAATAATAATACCAATTAAATAATAAATAAATAAATAAATTACACCAAAACATTTTATTAAGATGATGAACTCACCAATCTATCATTGGACGTCCTACAGTACGTTTTTTCATAAAAAGCATTTCATTCAGAAGGAATAGCTAACTAACTCAGCAAGATTGGAAATTTTGTAACACTAATGATTTGCTTTTCATAAATTTGGGTTCAGCACAAATTTGAAAGATGTATTTCTTAAAGTCTGACCATACAGCAAATCTTCTATGTCACGAACTTTTCCACATTCCACTTAGTTACGTAATACATGTCACTGACACAATAAACAAATTCCTGTGTACCAACCTTGCGACGGAACTGTAGCGCAAAGAATGAAAAATAGTCATTGATATACCTACAGGTAAAACTTAACATTCCTTACTAACATTTGTCAACAATCCTCAGCATCAAAGTGTGTAGCTTTACAAAAGCCGACATTGTCTGTATTTTTCAGACGAAGCAAAAAAAACTCAGAAATGAGTACTCAATCAAACAAACTATCACATGTTACGAGCAAAGCTTTATGTGGCTGGCCCAAGTACAGAAAGTCTGTGGACAACTTGCAAGACTTTGACATAATTTGAACCTACTTAAGATTGTTCTTTAAGATAGAGCAAGGACAATCGATTGCAATCGGAAAGTATGTACGGTTGTAATGACTCTAATCACAGACCAGGGCTGTCAGGAGTCTGTAACCGCAACGAGAATGAAAAATGGAAAAAAACATTACAAGCCTTGATTTGCTAAGAAAATTACATTGTGATTTTGCCCCACATTCGGATCCCGCTACATTTATACCAACTTTTTCACCACTCAGAAGGCTTCTATATGTAACAGCCCAACTGAGACTCTTGAAAGGTGACATCTCCTCTCTCTGTGCATTCAAGTGGATCGCCATTCAGTCCACTCCCAAACTCGAGAGAGCACACGTAGCTGTAGGAATCTCATAGATTTGCATGCAATGAGGGCCTTTCCAGAAGTACAAAGCGTACCTAAATAGGTAAACTTTTCAAATTCCTGCATGCTTTAACTCCCAAAAGCCCGTGAAACCCAAGAAGAGTCAGGAGATTCATAAGCCCCGTATCAGCAGAACCTCTGTTACCAGAGGATTACCAATTATAGCGGTGGCATGCTAAACATCTACCAAGTTTCCCTCCAATACAAGAGAAAAAGCAGGGGTCCAAGGCACACTCGGTCCTCAACGTGATCAGACAAGACAGAAGAGAGTTCATATGAAGCCCCTGCACACGACAGACCACTCCAAGAAGGGAAAATATTCACGCATTGAAGTCTTCCGTTAACTTCCAAGACACTCCTCAAAGAGACAGCATCGGATTTTGCTTCCGAGCATGCTCGGGTATCAAACGATGCAGAATATCAGGAGTTGCACCTTTCAACTCTGCACCACCACCACACCCAACCATATTAGAAATCCACCACCTTGCCAACGTTACTTTCTATCATACGAGTACACACAACTGACAACGCTACAAACCACGTCTGCACAGCTCGCATCAAACATTGCCCTATGCCCACGCATCACCAAAATCCCCCACCTTGAGGTTTGAAGTTGAACAGAGGCGGAAGTGGCCGTCCGTTCGACAGGCGGCAGTTAGGATCCCTTAACTCATCAAAGAACGGGTGCACACACGCTTCCAGCTGCAAATAAAAACCACTTTCTTAATATCGTTATATCAATCATCCGCAATGCAGTATCGTATTCAACTGCATCGGTATGCTGCCGTTGCAAGCTCGCTTTAAAATCATGCCTCGCGAACGCCACACAAACATCACAATCCAACGCACCCAACTGTCTGTAAGTGAAGCTACTCACAGCATTGCATCGCAGATTTGGAGAGTACTGTAGAAGTCTTGAAACCAGGTCGACTGCTTCTGGTGGCATGCGTTTGTGGAATATCTACAATACCCACATCCACCCAGTCACACTTTGCTTACCCTCCAAGTCGCACATCCCAAACTCGCCCATGAAAGCAACAAACTGAACACCACAAGAGATGACGAGCCAAACCCACCGCTCACACGAAAACACGGTCGTACATCTCCACTTCTGGACTACACTACCAAAGCCCAAGATGGAAACAGTGCATTCACAAAGACCACATACTTTGTGCCACGGGTGAGCCTTGATTTGCGGAAACTTGAACTCCGTGTAGTTCGGATTCATGCACTTTATCTCCTCACGAGTCGGTGTTCCCAACACCTGCCACACAAGTACTCCTCAATAACATACTCACACTCCACAGCATCATAACACCCCCGCAACAGTCACAACCAGCAAGCAAGTACGCCACCCTTCAACACAACGCCGTGCACCGCCTGTGCCCTACCTTGATAATCTCCACCAATTGATCCACTCCACTCTCTCCGGGGAACAGAGGCTGCAAGGACATCCAGAATCTCGTCAAATTCAGCACTACTCCTCCACCTCACTCGCCCAAACTCCATGACTCCGACTTGCAACACACACACACATGTGGTTCGAGACTGCCACTGACTCGATGCAAGGAATCAACAATCCTCGGCATCCACTCAACCATATCATCTCAGGCCAACAGACCTCACCACAGCCACGCTACCAGTACCTGTCCCAGAAGAAGTTCAGCCATCACGCATCCCATCGACCATATATCGATGGCAGTCGTGTACTCTGTCGCTCCAAAAATCAGCTCAGGAGCACGGTAGTACCGTGAACAAATGTACGAGATGTTGGGCTCCCCTTTCACCTGCACAACATCACCACCTCCGTCATGTCGCTCCACCGAGAAGTACCCTAATCGGGAATTAGTGCAACATCTACACCACACAAGTACAGTCCATTCCACTGGGTGGTTCACAGCCTCACAACTCGAACAACGCTCACTCTCATCCAACAGATACTCACCAGAACTTTGGCGCTGCCAAAGTCACAAAGTTTCAGTTGATGCGTATGGGGATTCACCTGTGCCACAAAAACTCAACCCAGTTACAACACCGTTCAAGCTCTTGCAACTTCTCTGGTTAACATCACACGCTTCAGGAACTTGCTAAAGTAATCACGTCATAATGCGAGTACTAAAATAGACAACATCATGCACTGCGGGAGTCCTCATTCACACATTGAGATTCATGAGACACATACCAGCAGGTTTTGGGGCTTGATGTCTCGGTGACACACACCAATGCCATTATGAATGTATGCCATCGACCGGCAGATCTGATAAGTGTACAACTTTACGTACAGAAGAGGCATCCGCTGGTTCATGCGATTGTAGTGCTTTGCAATACGATACACCGTCTCAGGCACATATTCCAGCACCAGGTTCAAGAACAGTTCATCTTTATCCGTCGTTGAAAAGAAGCAGTGTTTCAGAGCTACAATATTCGGGTGATCCAACAGTCGCATGATCTGCAACTCACGATTCTTGTATCGTTTGTCTTGCAACACCTTCTTGATGGCCACTGTTTCCCCAGTTTCGATGCATTTTGCCTGATCACACAGGTCACCACGATACTTAGACAACGGTGCACTTCTACCAGCTTGAGACTAGCGTAAACAAATAACCCATAAAATTCTTCTCTACAATGCAGACCAGGTTATCATACAATGTCGCCTAATGAACAGAGCAAACTACTTTTGACAGCACAGAACCTTCATTTAATACAGCACTCATACGTGACATGAACGAACTAGGAAATACTTGGAATAGGTGATGAAGGAAGCCAAGCTTAATAAGTACCTGGAAGACAATTCCAAATGACCCTGTGCCAACGACACGTTCTGCTGAATAGCTGATAGTCTGCAGCATCCACGTAATTGCGTACATCAAATATAAACCCACTTCCACTTCTATCAACATTAAAAAGGTCTTGACGTTGTCGAACTCATTTTTGAAATAAATTGTGTACATGGTTAACAGTAATACAAGCAATACTATAAGGCCTGAAATTTCCTTGAAAAGAAAGAAAGAACGCACACTGAATGATGAGCTCTGTTACTAAGGACAATATCCCTCTATGAGCTGCCTGCAAGGTATGCAGGGAGTTGCCGCAGTCATGTCAATCTGCTCAACGCAGCCATTACTCACACCAGCAAGGGTTCGTCACCATACCTGCTTGGGTTGCCCATTCTTCCCTCCAATAGTAGTTGCTATGATGTGGCCCGTCTCGGTGCCATTCCCATCTACTACTGATGCCTCAATTTCCTGCACAACATCCGTAATATATTTAAGACTACAACTCCTTACTGCAGTTCCCTGGAGTCCATGGAAAAAAAGTGTTCGCACTTGATATGACTGATAGCCTTCGTAAAAAGACATAATCATTCCATTGCGAAAACTTGTCTGCCTTCGAAACGCACACAGCGTGCCTCAAACTGACGAAGCGACTGAAACACACCTTATCATCACTGTGGTCAACCTTGTCATCCCTGAGCTTCATGTCGTGCATTTCTTTGGGTAACGATTCTACTCCGCTAGAACCTGCTTTGATTGGGGCTGTCCCTCCTCCGATCATATTCGTGCTACCAGCCAAACCGGCAGTTGCAAATGCCATAGAAGGGCCACTGTCCCCTGAGGTCAAGTGCCTGGATCACCTTTCTGCTTCTAGTACTATTTTCCCTATCTGTAGAATAGCATCCTTAGGTCCAGCTGGTAATACCTGTAAAAAGCTGAAAAAACACACGTGAACGGTGTCAAAAGCTACTTACTGAAAGGTCACTAACAGAGTCCAACAGAAACCAACCCATTAGACTTCACCTTAAAGTCCATTGATAAATACCTCATTCCAAATTGACGAGGATTAAAATTGACAAAAAAAAAAAAGTTTCGTGATAAAATACAACAGGAAGAAGCAGAAATCAACAAGTGAAGCACACTGCACGTAATGCCGTTTCTGCTGTCGCTTCAGAGTACAGTGCGAAAACGCAACATTGCATTCTTTTACTCTACTCGGACGAAAGCAGCTCTCTGGTTATGAGCGCTCATTTGTCATGTTAAAACAACGGCGAGTCAGCAACGCAGCTACTGAAGAATACGACAAGAAAGCCAGGAATACGAGGCTAGGTAACTAAGGAAGAGGACTTTGTTTTGCATGTCGCAGTTGACAGATGTGAAATCTACATTTCAGGACTACATTTCGCATAACTGCAAATTTTTCATACTGCCGCCCTGTCCCAGAAAAAAAAAAGGGTTCCTAGGTGATTAGACGCGGAGTACCCGGGTAAGCTGTAAACTTTACCCACACAGTGGACATGGTAGTAGACTGCAATCGCAATGAGTGTGACCATCCAGACTCAGGAAGAAGAAGAAGAAGCTTACATTCTCAGTAACCCGTTGAAGCTAACTCCCGCACATCACATGCATGGCAACGGTAACAGCGTCACTACTTGCCCCCCAAGAAATACCTCGCAACGTGCTTTCCTTGTCACAATCTCTCGTACCTTCCATTTCCCCTCCATATCTCACTCATATCCTAGCATCCTCCACACTGCTGCTCCACTTCCTCCAACTCCTTTCTTCGCAACACCGGTTCCCTCCAATGACATACCTTAAATGCACCCCTCTACCCACCCCGCAAGATCCTTTCAAACCATCGTACACACTGCCAGAATGTTTCAGATGCGCTCCCCAAGGAGATCTTAGAAAATGGCACGGGACTACGTCTAACAGACTACACAACTTGTGGGAAACGCTTCCAAGAGGTACAACCCCTTCCAACCATCCGGGTCACCTTCTACATGCCCCACGGCCCAATACCTCCTCCTCCGCACGACCTTCCCTCTCTCTCTCTCTCTGCAGCGCTGGAGAAAAACTCCGGCTTCTCCGCAACAACGCCTCTTAGTGTCCCTCCCCCCAGTCTCCACCGCTTTCAACTCCAAACTCCTCCTCACCACAGAAAAAATTAAAATTAAAATTAAAAAACACTCGTCAAAATTGCCACCCGTTGATCTTTCACAAGATTACAGCATAAACTGCGCCAGAAACGGCAGGAAGACAAAAAAAGAAGCAAGCTTGGAACTAAGAGAAGAAGAACAAGGCAAGGTTAGGAAGAGGAGGAGGGGGAGAGACGGCGGTGGCGCAGCAGCAGCAGTGAGGAGGAGGACGAAGAGAGGAGGAGAGGAAGAGCATGGGGCAAGCAAGGGCGTGGCCATGGATGATCATCGCCATAGCCATGGGATTATTTCCCATATGGCAGGCTGGCTGCTCTGCGTCTCTCTCTCCTCCTCTTCTGCCGTGCTGATGATGCGACGTCGTCGCCTTTTTCTTCGTCGTCTTCGTCGTCGTCGTCGTTGTTCCTCCTTCTCCCAACCCATACCCGTGATCACGGTCTCGGGACTAATTCTCCTTGACCGTGGATAGTACTCTTTGACCGTGATCGGCCCTGTGTGCTCTTGCGTTTTAAACGATATTTTTTTGGATTATCGTTATAATACTTTGATGGATGATCGTTTTCCATGGATGCTTCTATAAAAAGTGTTGGAAACTGCAAGGAGTTCTTTTTTACACTCTAGAAAGAATGTTGTATATATGAGGAATAGCATTAATGCTTTGGATGTTTTATGTATGTTGTTATTTTTTGGTTGTGAGTTGGGAACCTTGTTTTGTTTTTTATTTTATTTTATTTTATTTAACACAATTGGTTTTCTTATTCTTTCATTTTACAATAGTACATGTTTACTTTTTATCATAAATGAAAATTAAGATGAATAATAATTCACGAATTTATAACCATCCAAGATTCTGTCTTACCAATTTAATGTGGACATTGTTATTGATAGTCATTTCAAATGATTGTGTGTAATTTTATTGCTTACTTGTAAAATTTCAATTATTGTGACATGCAAGAAGCTTTACAACAGATAAAAAGTACGAATAAAAGAAACACTTAATTTTCTATACAAATTTATTGGAACTATGATCAATATTTTGGCATGCAGTGTTTATTTTCAATTGATTCGGTGCAGCCCAGAGTGTTTAATATACGGTCTCAATTAAAAAGTTTTATGGAAACCTTCAGAAATACTTTTAAAATTTGTATTATAGTAATTCTATGATTTGATTTGAACTTAAGTATATGCCCACAGATCACACAGTAACAATTTTGGATTATTTTCTCGTATTATATGAATTATTTAAATGTTCTTTCTGATGGTAACGAAGCAAATAAATAAATAAATAAACATTATGAATTTTTTTCTGACATTTTTCCCTGATGCAATGCAATACAAGAAAATTGGTATTGGTTGTAACAGATTTTGATTTTGCACCAAACTTCTACTTGTGATGTTAAACTCTTTAAAACTTTTCAAGAAAAATTATGAGCCAAAGTGGAGAAGTCTTTTTGTTTGTTTTTATTTATACATATAAAAGCTTGCATGTATGAGGATTGGTGTCTGCGAATTTAGAATGTGAACATGCATTTAAGATTACAAAAAATAAAAATGAATAAACGAAAAAATAGAATCCATAACATTAAAATAAAAAATAAAAAATTGAATTTTGTGTGCTACATCATGTATGAAAATTTATTCTAATATCATACATAATCTTTTGAAATACAGGTATTATAATTTTAGTCAAAAAAATGTTAAAACATTAGAAACTTGCATAGCAATAATTATTATTGAAATTTTAAAATATTAATATTAAATAATAACCTCAAAACAATCTTAAGAAGAATGATAGTTGAAAACTATAAAGAATTTGAATGAAGAAACTTCATCGATGTGACAAAGCAAAGGCGCGTAATGTCTGTTTAGATTAAAAATAAATCAGGAATGAAAAAAAGTATCTTAAATAAGATATTTGTTGTACATGATTGCAAACAATTAAGATATGCCTAATCAAGAAACATTTTTTATTTTAGTTTTATAAATCAAATGTATAGTTAGTAAACAATTAAATATATATTATAAAATAAATAATTTTAATTTTATATCATTTACTAAAGTATTTTTAGATCTTTTTTTTATGCTTACTAAGAAAGGACATCTTTATTTGTAGATGAGAAGGTTAGAATGTGCAACTTTCAAACATTTTAATAAAGTCTTACTTGGTAAATGTTATGCTTAGAAAAATCAACTAAGATGCCATTAGAAGAAAGACAAGTTTTTTTTTTTTTTTTTTTTTTTTTTCCCCTTATATAAGCATAAATATCATTGTTTCTCTAAAATTTTAGAAAATCCACGTTAATGAGATGATTTTACAAAAAATTGACAAAGCAACTGTCAAAGATTAAAAACTGCATTTTATTACATTTTTATATTTTTTCAATGCTTTTTGAATTAAAATATCAACTAGCATACTTAGAAATACAACAAAATAAATTAAATGATTTGGTGTATTTTATAGTCTTTTCTCACCCTACATAGTCTTTAAAATCTAAGACTTCCAATAGAGAGTTTTTCTTCACCAAGCAAGTATCTTTTTATAAGGCTTTTGTATATCAATCTTTCAAAGAGGTTTTCTAGGTGTTTGATTGCCCTAAATGAAATTTATTTAGATTGATAAAATGATTAAAAAAATGTAGGATTTAGTTGATACATGTAAGAAAAAAATCTAATAATTATGCTAAGTTAATAATCGATTTTAAGAAGAAAGACTATAAATAAATATTATATATGTATTTTTAGAATGATCACTATGCAAAAATATTTTTTGTATCATTTTATATATATATATATATATATATATATATATATATATAACATACAAAAATTACATCCATCTTATTTTTTAAATGAGTGTTATTTAATGTTTTGAGGTGTTAAACTTCTATATATCAAACAAACCATTTTTATCATAATTTCTTTAAACATATGTTCCATCATCTGTAAAAAAAACAAATGCTCTATACAAATAGGATGAAAATAAAATAAATCTCATATTAATTTTTTGTTTAAAATACAAAGAAATAATATTTAAAAGAAAAAATGCTAGATAGTTGTATGGAAAAAATTATTTAAATATATTCATTTACAAATATAATTTAATTATAAATACGTTATGTCATTCAAAAAAAACTGAATTGATTTTTATATACTTATCCTGAGTTTAATAAATTTGTTATAGATGCACTTGAATCAATCAAATTATAACCATTTAGTACAATTTTTAGAGTTTTATATTAAAAAATCTCTCAACTACATTAAAGCATAAAAAATAAAAAGTATTAATGTTTAAACATTAGTGTTCTTAGATTTATTTATATAGAATCTGATGTAGAATCTTATCAACCTCTACAATGTATAATATAATAAAATGATTAATTCATTCTTAATATGAATATTAATATAAGATTAAAGGCACATACTCAAAACTTCAAAACCATAACGTAAAGCATCTTGAATTCATATTTTTGAAAATTTTAATAAAATTCCATAGCAACATACAAACATCCTTTGAAAACTTGTATGCAACCTCACATTCTCCACGGTAGTGGGTACCATTTGTCCACCCATACCCGTGGCACTTTCATTCGCCTTTATTGGAAAGTACATATTAAAGTATAAGCTACGTCATCGCGGCACAGAAAGCTAAATTGTGGTGGAGGGCGATGCGCCGCAAGCTTCATCGGCGCCAGAGTTCCATGGCCGTCGACGTGAGATCGGCGTCAATCTCTGCCTCATCCTGCGCAAAGCTTGCATCGATCGTTATGAATTGCGAGGCTCGGGATAGCCATGGGTATGGATAGAAGTCGAGGTTTATGCAGTCTCAGAGTCAAATCTGTCCCCGCTCTCAATTTGTTCAACTTTGCTCTTCTTAAATCGATTCTGTTTGCTTCGATTCCCAGTTTGAGTTGGATCAGACCTCTCGAACTCGCAGGTGACAATGACTGTTGTGATCTTGCTTTGATCGCTTTTGCGTTGAAAAACTACATGCCTCGAAATATGTGATCCGTCCAGAGATCGGCGCCGCGTGTTGTCTTGTCAGTTGAGCAGGCTATGTACTCGTAGTGGTGAATGCCATATGTGTGATTATAAGTTTTGTTGAGTGTGAGTTGATTGTGATGAGAACAGCACTTGGATTTATGGACATTATGTTAAACCTGCTGCGATTTTTTTGAAAATGAGCAATATGGTTGACGGTTCATTCAGTTTGGTACAGCCTTGGCTGTGATCGTATAATGAGTCAGAGACGCTGAGATAGAGGTGTTCTTTTCCTCCTGGCTAGCATCGAATGTGTACGAAAGAACGTTATGTGATATGCTTTGGTTTACTATTGGTTTCTAGGCCAAGTTTTTATTGAAGATGTTCAGACTTGTCTCTCCAGAAGCGATTCATCATTTAGATATTCTTTGTGCCTTTTTTTTTAAATCAATGTGAACAGCTATCTAAATACTCAAACTGAGGGAATTGGAATTTAGTATTCTTGTTTTTGATCTTACAGATTAAGTGTGCTTCTTCATGGAGTTTTTTTTTTCCAACATTTCGTTTGTTGAGTGAAGGCAATGACGATGCACTTCGCTGGTTTAAATCTTGTAGGTCGTGTACTTAATGTAGGTGGACGAGATGGATTGAAATGAAAGTTCCGTGACTGGAAGCTACGCTACTATCAACAATCATCAAAACTGTCGCACAGTACACCGCTTTACATATCCATTTGTATGAGCATTATGTACAAATTGTTGAGCAAGGAAAGCAGCATGAAGCATGAAGCATCTATAGCTGAAAATTTTTCTTAAACTTGTATCGGAATTTGTTAGAGGGAGTCCTTTAAAAGAGCACGAGCTGCCCTGGTCTAAACCTGGCCTGGTCCTGAGACATGAACGAGTGTCTGAAGCGTCACCGTGGAACCAATGTATGTTTAGAGTGCAGTGGCCATCTGTATTTGCACATGCAAGACTTTATCATTATTTACTCGAACCAGGCTATTTAAAATCCAAGTGAACTGAATTGTCTAACACTCACGTAGATCAATCAATAAGCTAGTTTCTAAACTCCACTAGCTATTATATATTCGTAAAGTAACTATTGGAGTTCAGTATTACCACATACCTACTGATTAAATCTATATGACTTGGCACAATTCTGTGTGAAGTTCAGAACGGAGCTGGAGTTTGTGACTGTTGGACACCTCTTGTTCGTTTGAGGCTGTGAAATTACGCAGAGAAATGAGTTGCCTTCCGACTCAGCTGAAAACTTCAACACTCCAGAGGCAAATCTCGTGTCACGAACGGAAAAAGGTTGCAGTGAAGCCCTAATTCTAGAACTGATTTAG